CCACACACAAAGAGGCATAAGAAAAACAAAAAGAGAAGCATTTTAAAGGATACCGACAAGGACTTTAGCGGCTGGGTTATCAATGGAGGGACTTTAAGATGGTGGCACCATCATTTGTTACAATAACACTTCCTCTGCCAGTTGATTGTAAAATCTTATCCTATGAAGAAATTACATTAACGAGCAGATGATTAAGTCAAATTACGAGAGGCAGGTCCCTAAATTGCAGTATATTCCTATTTTTCAACACACTGATACAAAATAAAATTACCATTCCCTTGGGCCCTAAGGTTGTCTTCACCAAGTCAGCGATTGCCATTGCTCCAATAAATGATGCCTAAAGCAAAAACAAAAAAGAAAAATATTCATTCACTAATAAGAAATCAATATAGGAATTGGAGTTCCATTAAAAAATAAATTAATAATAATAAGTTTAAGCATTGTTAAGAGAAACCATGCAACACTACGGGAAAAAATGGCTTTCTTAGTGGTTAAGCTGTTGTTTTAGCCTTTTTTTGTATCAAAGAGCTTTACCTCTTGTTCCTATTTTGCTGCTTTGTTGGTAATAAAATGCTGCTTAGGGGGGTAAAAAAAAAAAGAACACTACGGAAAACATAACCAACAGTGTGCTTTCAATACATGTGGTTTGACTAAGGCTATGTAAAGACCAAAAAAAATTATATTATACAATACATTTATGTATATACCTTGAGATATTTAATTTAAACTTAGATTTAAATGGGATAAACCTCATCCTATTTAGCTGTTATACCCTGCAACCCCACGATAAAGTTTTATAATTATGTTATTCAATAGATATATAAATGAAAATTTATATTATATTAGCCGTGTCCACGCTATGTTTGTATCCTACTTTTTTGGAATTTAACATTTCGATGTATCCTTATCGGGTTGTGTCGGTGTTCCGTGTCCATGTCCATACTTCTTAGTGTAATGACGTAAGTCACGTAATATGGACATATAATAAGTTGTTAGGTTCTTTTATATATATATATATATATATATATATATATATATATATATATATCAAAGAGATTGGCTGAGTGGAAGAAGCAATATATGTCTGCCGGGGGGGGGGGTTTATCTATGTTCCAAATTCCATGCTCTGTTACTGAAAGGATCGAAAAGATCCAAAGGGATTTCCTTTGGCGCGTAAGGGGCGAAGAGTTTAAGTATCATCTCGTTAGATGAGAGCAAGTTTGCACACCCATGAAGTTGGGTGGTCTGGGAATCCGGAGGTAGGTTCCCTTTAATCAAGCTCTCTTGGGCAAATGGTTATGGAGATTCGGTACGGAAAGGGATCGCCCTTGGAGAAGGCTTGTTTCATGTCATTTTGGAGAGGAGAGTGGCGGCTGGTCTACTCGTCCAGTCTCTATTGCGGGAGGAGTCGGTGTGTGGAAATTCATTCGGAAGGGCTGGAATGTTCTGTCTTCCCACATCAGATTCAAAGTTCGTGATGGAATGTGTTCAATTTTGGGAGGATTTATGGTGCGATGACCAGTCATTATCTTGTACCTTTCCCAAATTGTACAGTATCGCAGTTGATACACATGCTTGCGTAGCTGACTGTTATCGGCTTGATGGTATTGGAATTACGTGAGACGTGCACTTTCGGCATTCTTTTCAGGATTGGGAGATGGACGAGGTATGTGTTCTCTTGGATTTTTTGTATCGGCAGAAGGCAGTTGGCAGAGGTAGTGATGATCTTACGTGGGTCCCCTCTTCCCAAGGTCGATTCAAAGTATGGTCCATGTTTCTATGCCTCTCCAACTTTGATGGCATTGATTTTCCATTGAAGACCATATGGCGTTCTAAGGCTCCACCTAGAGTGGCATTCTTTGTATGGACTGCTGTATGAGGCAAGATCCTAACGATTGACAATTTGAGAAAGTGTTAATTGGTGCTGTCTTTGCAAACGGAGATGGTGAGTCAGTGGATCATATCCTCCTGCATTATCCCGTGACGCACGACTGCTGGAACCTTATACTCGGCTTATTTAGTATGCTTTGGGTAATGCCCCGATCTTCTAAGGGACTGATTAATGCATGGAGGGGATGTCGTGTGAGAAGCAGTGTACGCGACTATTGGAAGATAGTTTCACATTGCGTGTGGTGGTGCATTTGAAAGGAGAGGAATAGTAGAATGTTCGAAGGGAAGCGACGCTAAAACTTCATATTATTCGCTCTCTTTTTAGTTATGTGAAGAGGAGTTCCTGCTCCTCTTCTAATGAATTAATCATTTTTTTGGATTCTTTGTGTCCTTAGATCCCGGTTCCACTTTTGTGTAAGGGACGCGTTCCCCTTTTGAACGCCTTTTATTCATTTATTACTTATCTCTCTCTCTCTCTCTCTCTCTCTCTATATATATATATATATATATATATCATCAAGAATGGTGCTTAATTGTAACATGGATGGATGGCAAAATAAAGCACGCCCTAAAAATGAATATTGGAAAAGTTGTCCTTGAAATTGAATATGGGGTGATAGGCTCTCTCATTAGAAAGAGATCATTACAAAGAGCTTAATAGATAAACAAGATTCATGTAACAAACCACAAGTAGTTGGAAAAATACTTTATTAAGTTGAGTTGAACTTTGAACTAAACTAACAATTGTTGTATGCAATTCGTACACATGGTGCTTTAATAAAGTATCATCATGATTATATTATATATTAGATGGAAACCATGTTAAATGGACTCTACAAGAATTTGTCTTAAAAGATGTGTGAAGTATTGCATATGGACTCTTCTTTTATTTTCTATTTGACTATAGAAAATAAAAAATAGAATATTAAATAATTGAACATTATTTAGCGCAAACCCACATCCGTAGCACATATGTAACATAGGATGGTGTAGACGCATATATCAATCGTTTACTTAAAATATGCATTTATCATTACAAGCCTGAACTGAAACACTCACCATTCTAGCCCACTCACCCTTTTCCTCAGTAGCTTCATCTTTAAAAAGTTTGCTGACCTGAGACAGTTGACAATTCAAATACATAAGAGGCATAAAAAAGAAAGAGATACAACCTGGTGACTTGAAGCATAATCAGTTAATTCATGGAAAAAAAAAAAAGCATAATCAGTTTCTGACATACCGCCATTAATAAGAAAGAAAGAAGATCAAGCTGGAATCCAAATGCACGGATGACTTATTATCTGAAAGAAACAAGGAAGAAAGTGATGTAGTATTAAAAAATAAAAAGAATTCAGAACATCTTAAGCCAACAACAATCCAACGGGGAATTTTTTTTTTACCCGATAAGTCGGATATCAGGAATTTTGGATGTGATTTTCAACTAGTTTTCAATTTGCTAAGGGTAGAACAAAGAAATTCTAGAGAAATTGAATCTCATGCTCAAAAATCTTTCGAAATTGCAATGGATACCAGGACAATCAATGAAAATAACGCAATATTCAACAAAAACTTGCTGTAATTAAGTCTTGTATTCAGCACAGATAAGCAATAATTCTATAATAACGGTCTTATAGCAATTCTTGGAAAAAGAACCAATACTCTTATCTTGCAATGCTTTTTTTTTTCCGTTCTTTTTTTTAAAAAAATAGGTAAATTTTATAGACAATAGGTTATGAAAGTTTAGCCAGAACAATTTCACCCATTTGAATGCTATCGAAATTAGCATTGATTCTGCAACAAAAGGCCGCTTTGTACAAAAGACAATGAAATAAAAACTGTTCTCCAATTTGATAGAATCTCACCGAAAATAAACATATAAAAGCAAATGCAAGTCCAAAAATCAAAGCCCTTACAAACGAACTTAAAAACCCCTAAAGTCGAATCGGAAGGAGAAAGAGGCATGAATCGCGGACCTTAAATAAATAAAACAAAAACACAGGCTGCTTCAGAAGTATCCATCCAAAAAGCAAAGACCCAAAGAACCCTAAAATGCTTAGCTAAACGCCGAAAACGATTGATTGATTTTAACTTGAGTTGTACATGCAAATATATATACATATGTATGAAAATGTACGCTAGAAATAGTGAAGCATTACCTGGTGGTCCTGATCAGAGAGAGTAAAGAGAGAGAGAGCGGCGAGTTGAAGTAGTTTTATACCTACTAGAGTTTCTTCCAGGTGCTAGAGGTTATCTGAGGAGTGAATATATTTAGTGTTTGTCGTGGTTATCAAACTCCATGAACCCATCTATACCCAACCGTTGGATATTTTCTACATAGCGCCAATCAAAAACATAAGCCGCGCATCTGACGGTTAAATTTGTGATTCGGTGGGCCAGACGCAGGTGAGTTGGGATTGTTGGAAATTACACTCTGCACCGTCTGGACCGTGTAAATTGTGTCATACACGCGCTGGCGCGATAATTAATGGTTCGATGCACACAATGTACAATGGGTACAAGAAAAAAAATTTTGAATTTTTGGACGAAGAATACTGGAGAGGGCAAACCAGAAATTTTAAATATATATATATATATATATGCTAGAAAATAGGTATGGAAAAATAAATAAATAGATAAAAATGAATGAGAGTTCTACCATTACAAATTCTTTTTTTTTTTTCTTTTTTTTTTTAAACTCCAACAAGAACTATAACGATCAAAGGAGAACAATAAAGTCCAGAAAAAGAGCATTTAACAACCACTGGGACCATATGCTCCACTCCACATTACCACACTCAGCAATTAAAGCCTTCTTACTCACCAAGTGAGCAACAACATTACCATTTCTCGAAACCCAAACAAGGGAAGACCTGGGCATTCCAAAAGAAAAGAAGAGATATCCTTAAACACCACCATGAGAGCTTCAGCGGAGGGTTTGAGGCGGATCACGGATTGGCAATCGCCTTCAACCACAACATTGTGGTAGCCTCAATCCCGGAGAAGAAGGAAAGATGCCCGCAACACCAAGGCCTCGGCCAAAACAGCATTGCCAACATTCAAAAAGAAAAGAGAGGCGATCTTGACTGGATGACCCAAGTGATTCCGGAGAATCAATCCCCCCCACCCCCCTGGGACTTGGATATGGAATTAAAGGCAGCATTGAAGTTGAGTTTGTGATATCCCTCCTCTAGGACCTTCCACACCTCCAAAGGAGATGTAAGAGTAGGACATGGCAAAGAGCACAAACTATTTTGACGTGAAACTTCCTGGAACTCATTAAAGGATGTGAGAGCCTTCTGAACCACCGCCAAAGGATCACTACTGGCGTTGTTAAACACAACAGCATTTCTGTTTTTCCATAAGGACCAACAAATAAACGCCGCTAAACCGATACACTGATTAAACCCATCCACCAAAAGCCAGTTCTCACACATATCAAACCACCGCTTTTGCCATAAGGTGGGCTGGGAACAAGAGAAATCCATTCTTAAAGGGCACAGTTTCCACACTTTGCACGCAAACGGGCAAGTGCAAAGTAAATGATCAATAGTCTCATCATGAGAACCACAAATATAGCAACACCAAAACTTATACGCCCCCCGTTTGAAGAGCTGCGAATTAACTAGGATACGTTCATGCGGACATTGCCAGACAAAAAGTTGAATCTTCCTGAAAGCACGGATATGCCACACAGCTTTCCACAAACCACTATCCATGGCATCAAAACTACAACCTTCAGCAAGAGGGGGGGAAGGAGGATTAAGAATAGAAATAGCAACATGATACGTGCTTTTGATCGAGAAAAGGCCGTCCTTAGAAAAACCCCAAACCTTACAATCAACCCCTCCGCGAACACTCAAAGGGATTTTGAGAATAAGCTTGCAATCCCGTTGATTGAAGAACTGAGAAACAAGGGATATATTCCATTGATGGGTAAAATGAATAATAAGATCCGCCACTGAGGAAAATTTAGCCCGAAGTTGCTTAGATGAAACAGCTGAATTGATAGGATCAAGGAGCCAATTATCTTTCCAACAATTGATTAATGAGCCATCGCCAATGCACCATCTCAAGCTTTTCCTAATAACTTCCTATGTAAAAAGGATACTTTTCCAAACCCAAGAGGCACTAGACTTATACGACGCATCCACAAAATCACAATGCTTGAGATACTTCTGTTTAAAATATTTGTACAACAGGGAATCATCGCCAGATTCCATATGCCACGCCATCTTAGCGAGAAAAGCCAAGTTAAATGCTTCCACATTTTTAAAACCAATACCACCAGCCCCCTTGGATTTGTAGAGATTATCCTAGCCGAGCTAATGAATTTTGTTGGATTTGTCCTCGCCGCTCCACCAAAAATTAGTGAATTTACTTGTTAAAGACTGACAATTAGTTTTCGGAAGCTTAAAACAATGCATGGAATAAGTGGGAAGAGCGGAAAACACTGCTTCACCATGACCTCACGCCCCACTTTGGATAGCAAATTACCTTTTAGAGCCTCAGTTTTGGAAGAGACTCGATTAGATAGAAAATTAAAAGTTGCGACTTTAGATTGCCCAATAAAAGATTGAAGACCCATATACTTGTTTGCCCAATCCACATTGCGAATGCCCAACACCGGTCGAAACTGATTTCTCAACAGAGCCGGAGTATTAGGGGAGAAATACATACAAGATTTACCAAAGTTCACCAGCTGCCCAGTTAAAGCCTCATATTTGTCAAGAAGAACTTTAATTTTACCCACCTGCAGGGCAGTAGCTTTGTAGAAAATGAGGGCGTCATCCGCAAATAAAAGATGAGAAATAGACGGACAACCCCGCCCTATCTTAAGGCCATGGATAAGTTTCCTTCTTTCAAAATCATGAAGGAGGGAAGAAAGACCCTCAGTACAAAACAGAAAAAGGAAATGAGACAAGGAATCTCCTTGCGGAGACAGCAGAAATGAGAGAAAAATTCGCCTTTTTCCCCATTAATCAACACAAAATAGGTAACTGTACTAATACATTCCATCATCAAATCAACCCACCGTTGATCAAAACCCAAATGGAACATGGAAGTACTAAGGAAAGACCAATTAACTCTGTCATAGGCCTTGGCCATATCTAGCTTCAAAGCCAAAAAATGAGACTCCCTTCTTTTTGGATTTAAGAACATGAAGAAGATCTTGAGCCAAAATAATATTGTCATGAATAAGACTAGTAGACACAAAAGCACTTTATAAATCATTGATAAGTATGGAAAGAAAGGGTTTTAGTTGATTAGCTAAAGCCTTGGAAAAGATCTTATATGCCATGTTGCAAAGTAGAATGGGTCTGAGATTAGACATACAAATCAGATGATGTACCTTCGGGATGAGCACCAAATGAGTAGAATTGAGGCTTGGAGGCAAAAGACCACCAGTGAGAAAAAAGTTAAAACCGCTGAGAAGATCAGCCTTTAACACCTCTGTAATACTCCTAATTTTAAAAGGATAGTCCTGGTATTTTAATAAATTATTTAAGTGCATTTTTATTTGTTTAATTGTTTGTTTATGTTTATTATTTGAATTAATTAATTAGTATTTGTTTAATTGTTTATTTGGGTATACTCTTTGAATTAATTGATTAATGGTTTATTTAATTATTGTGTTTTTATTTTTTTTAATTGTCTATTTGTATTTTTCTATTTGGAATTCACTTGTTTAATTAGATTAAATTAGTATAACTGTTATAATGTTAAAAAGTAGGTTTAATTATTAGAATTCGCGTTGTGGCCGACTATGATTTATATTAAGGTTCTGTCTCTAATTATACATGGCCTAGGGTTTTATTATTCTAAGCCTATAAATATATCATTACGGTGGTTTAGGGTTTTATAACACAGAAATATAAACCTAAGGTTTGTTCACGTAGAGAGGGTTGAAAGAACAGAGGCACAATTAGTGCTACCAGGGAGGAAAACAGAGAGGACCAAGGAGGTGTTGTGGTGGATTAAACTAGAATAATAGGAGGCTTGACGGTATTCAGTAATTGCCGGAAACTTAGAGACGACGCCGAGATTTCATAACTGAAATCAAAGGCAAGTTTTTTTTTTTCTCTCTCCCGTTGGCCTGTGTTCTGTGCACCTAGATAGTCTTTAGGGTTTAATTGATCATTAACTAAAACTTACATGTTTATTATATGTTATATTGATGATCTGTATGCATTGAATCAATTTTGTTACGGTTCTTGCAAGTCTGGGTTTCAATTTGTTCTTTAAGCATATTAAATCGGTAGAAGTTTTAATCACTATAATTAGTTCCAACTGTTGTAAACAAACCATTGGGATGCTACTGGGTTTAAACAAGACTCCTAGGTTCAGTTTTAAAAACAAACAGAAGGGTTGGAAGTGGCCGGAGTCAAAGAAGACAGTCGGAGACGCACTAGAGCTCTTAGAGAGGGAAAGAGTAGGCTCCATGGAAGAGGGAGCCGGCTCCCTCATCTTCAGAGCCGGCTCTGGGGAGTCTAGAGCCAGATCCTAACCCTCCTGAGCCGGCTCTAAGAGTGATGGAGCAGGCTCTATGCTCTACAGAGCCTGCTCTGTTGTTTTAAGAGCAGGCTCCCATGTTTTAATGTGTTTTGGGTTTGTCTGGGTGGACTGTTTGGATGATTTATGTGTCTTAAATTGTTCTAGAAGTAGACTGGGGTACTTAACATGTAATACAGGTGTTATTGAAAGCTCTCAATGCATAGTTTATACGGTTATGCGAATAGAATATTCGGTATGGAATTAAACAACTTTGCATGCTATTTACGGATGGAATGGAGTTAAATTGCCTAACTATAAATTAGTGATTTAACGGATTATAGCATGAGTTTAAAACTTGTTTTAAATACATAGTAGGGTACTTTAATTAACAGATGTGACCTGTGCATGCTTTGGACTTTGGTTGCTAAACTACTCTTTATAATTCTGTAGTTTACATGGTTTTGAACTGGATTATACTTTAGGTTTTAATTACTGAAATATTACACATTATTCTGTAATTAACTGGATTATGATTTTGGATTCTAATTGTTGAAATAATTATACATTATTCGGCGATTAATTAGATTTTAGTTTTGAACTTAAATTGCTGAAATATTATACACTATTCTGCAATTTCCTAGATTATGGTTTTGAATTGGATTATGGTTTTTGGACTTTAATTGCTAAACTGGTATTTAGGTTTTGTAATTATTATGGATGTCATGGATTGTATGCATCGGTATTAGACGGTGGCATACTAGGGATGGTTTAGCTCAAAATGCTAAGACCTAACCTATTGGAATAAAGGAATGGATTGTAAAATATTGAATCCTAATTATGTGAGTCCGATTAACTGACTTAATTGAATGACTTCCTAGATTGGTTGTTTGTAGTTAAGTCATATCAACTGAATAAGTTGAGTGACTAACTGGATTATATATTGTATGTCAAATCAATGAACAATTGAATGACACTCTGGTTGAGGACAGACTTTAGATATATGATTATGGTACCACGAGATGAGCTTGAGTCTTAGGCTCGTTAGTTAGGATGCGTATGTGCAGTGGATGTGTAGCTGGCTATGATAGGTTGAGGTGTACCCTGTTAGGTCTAGGTACTCATGCCCACCTTTGGGTGCATTTTTGCATGTTACCTTCTATTAAGGTTGAGACCCCTTCGTAGTCCAGTGAATGTCCCTTAGTGTAGATATATATATATATATATGGACTAGATAGATATTGTGAGATATCTAGGGTGTATCTGCGTATCGGATCACTGTATGGATTAAATTTAGATTAGAACTTGTTTGTGGGCCTGACCCACTCTTATATTTTCAGGTATCGGACGGTTCCAGTCTTAGGCTTGATCGTGCTGAGCAGAGACTATCATTCACTCTACTAACGTCGGAGGATCTCATTCCATGTTTTAGATTTGGTTTTATTTTCAGTTATGTTATGTTCAGTTGGGATTTAATTTAGGGATCCACTGGATGGATTCCCGAGTTGTACTCTTGAAGGCTTTGAAGAGTTGGGTTTTATAAATCTTTATTTGGAGGATTTTCTATTTAATAAATTCTTTCATCTTTATTAGTTAATTTTGAATTCCTTTTATATTCTGTGTTCGTTTTAAAATATTAATTGTTTGATATTCTCTCGGGTTTGGGCTTGGGCCTGATCAACCCATGTCTCGGATCTGAGGGGTATCACAGTTGGTATCAGAGCATTCCAGGTTCAAGTGTCTCTAGGATGTTTTGTATTAAGACTTCCGCGTAGCATTTTCTCTTAATTAGAGCTTAAGTTTAGGATTGCTTGTATTCCTTTACGGTTCGTTTAAACTTGTATTGATGTCTGTCTTTCTGTGTTAACAGCATGGTTAACACTAGAAGTGGACAGAACATGAACAGTCGACAGAGGAGAGTGACACGTAGGCAGCAAGAACGCCTGCGGCGTCAGCAAATGGAAGAAGAACAACAAATGCCTGGTTTCCAGTATGATGATGGTCAGTTTCAGGAGGAGTAGGAGGAAGTTCGGCAAACTCAGGATCAAGGAGGAGATCCAGAATACCCTCCTCATATTAACGACCTCATTGCTCGGGCTATAGAAGCAAGAGTAACAGCTGCACTTCAGAATCAGCCTTAGGTACAACCAGCACCAATACCAGCACCGGTTGTTCAGACTGATACTTGGGAAAAGGCTAAGAGTTCTTTCACAAAGGGGAGCCCACCTGGCTCCAAGTTCTTTCACAAAGGGGAGCCCACCTGAGTTCTCAGGCTAAGGTTCAGAAGCAGATGCTTGCTACTTTCAAGCTAGTTGGGGATGCACTATAGTGGTGGGAGTCAGTTACCACCGCGAGGAGAGGATGTCATTGACTTATAATCAGTTCAGTGCACGTTTTGATGAGAAGTATTTTCCTTATACAGTCAGGGCAGCTATGAAGACTGAGTTTCTTAATCTGCCGCAGGGAAACATGACGGTGGCAGAGTATGAGCAACAGTTCATGCGCTTATCTCTTTTTGCTCCAGAGGAGGTGGATACAGAGGAAAAAAACACAATAGTTTCGTGAAGGGACTGATGTGGTCTATTAAGCGAGCTATTATAGGTAGTCTAGCCTACACTACTTATGCTCAGGTGGTGGACGTCGCTCTACAGTGGTATCAGTTAACCGTGGATTTCAGACAGGCTAAGGGTGAGAAGCAGGGTGACAGAGACTCTGCTAATCAGTCAGCCGAGAAAGGGAATGG